TTGTGGATGTATAAACCTAGCTTGTTTACTGTCTAGCCTTGTGGATGTATAAACTAGCTTGTTTACTGGCTAGCCTTGTGGATGTATAAACTAGATTGTTTACTGTTAAGCCTTGTGGATGTATAAACTAGATTGTTTACTGTTAAGCCTTGTGGATGTATAAACTAGATTGTTTACTGTCTAGCCTTGTGGATGTATAAACTAGCTTGTTTACTGTTAAGCCTTGTGGATGTATACACTAGCTTGTTTACTGTCTAGCCTTGTGGATGTATAAACTAGATTGTTTACTGTTAAGCCTTGTGGATGTATAAACTAGATTGTTTACTGTTAAGCCTTGTGGATGTATAAAATAGCTTGTTTACTGTCTAGCCTTGTGGATGTATAAACTAGCTTGTTTACTGTCTAGCCTTGTGGGTGTATAAACTAACTTGTTAACTGTCTAGCCTTGTGGATGTATAAACTAGCTTGTTTACTGTCTAGCCTTGTGGATGTATAAACTAGATTGTTTACTGTTAAGCCTTGTGGATGTATAAACTAGCTTGTTTACTGTCTAGCCGTGTGGATGTATAAAGTAGCTTGTTTACTGTCTAGCCTTGTGGATGTATAAACTAGCTTGTTTACTATTTAGCCTTGTGGATGTATAAACTAGCTTGTTTACTGTCTAGCCTTAAGGATGTATGAAGTAGATTGTTTACTTGCTAGTTTTGTGGACGTATAAGCTAGTTTGTTTACTGGCCAGTGGAGGAGGGACGCTGGAAAGGGGAGAGTTACTGTGTGAGTGATAATACTCGAAAAATGTCAACCAGCGTAAAATCCTAAATCCCTCCATCATCTGTGAAAAGCAGCAAGTACTTTGGAAACACTCACACCACAATCTATTTACAGACTGGGTTTGATGAAAGCCTCTTAGGTTTCCTCGATCTAAACTGTGTGTTGAACTTCATTCAACATTTCGCCAGCGTCGTAAAGTCCCCTCAAATATACGACAACCCAGGGACCCTCAGGCGGTCTCGACCTCGCATTCAAACAAACATGGCGGTGGCACATGCAGTCCTGTCAGATATCAGAAACAGAAAGTGTACTAGACGTCTGTTGAGGGACAGAAGTCGAGCACTAGAGGTTTTAGATTTGATGTCAATAGATTGAAAGCGACATGTCTCATCAGAATCGGGGTATATGGCACGGAATCGAAACTACCGTCTACACCCAACTTACTCTAAGTACATGCCAAGCTTTCGGTTACGGTCTTCACGGCCAAATCCTGGACCAAGAGCTGACGACATGGGCTTGAAACGCAAAAAGCTGGCGTCAAGGTATATCTTGTCACTAAATGATCTTACCACTATATAAAAGGATCCTTTTTTTGCGATACAAGCTGTGGAGCTGACAGGAAACCAAACACAATCTTCGAGTGCATTTCGTAATATGGTTTGCAGGAAGAATACACATTTTCGTCTATGTGCACAGCATGCATGCTAATGTGATTATCTCTGTACAACCATGTAACATTGTGTGTTTAAGGCAGTTATTTATCGCCCACGTGAAGTTATAGAACATTACAACTATTGAACACTACTGGAGTGTTTCATAAAGATGAAACAACTGATGATATGACTGTGGGCACCACAAACAAGACTCACGTTGTCGACAAGAGCACAATTCGTAATGATGATTTCAATTTACCATTCTCATATGAGAAGAACCCTGGACTAAACGTGGAAAGTTAAAAGTGGATAGCCATGAAACAAGACCTGTTACAAAGGTTACCATCATCTCCGAAAAACAGGACCTACCTCGGGAAGTATCACGTGTGCTTGTCGATCCTCGGTACAGAGAACACTGGGCTACTGTCGTAGGCACTTTGATGGGGTATGGGTTTTATCGGGAAATATAGACATGTTTGTATATTCTCTGAGTTAAAGGTCACATGCAACGTAAAACACAACTTTGCAGATTCTGATACCTTTCGGTATGGACTTACCGAAACAAATCATCAAAAATGCAAATTCAACTTATAAAGTTGAAAAATAACGCGATGAAAAAAACGCCCGAAATCGTAGTTCAAACGATTCACTAATTTTCCCCCAGCGCTTGGGGGAATTCAAGTGGTTTCAACATCTGGGCTGCGCTCATAGCACGTGCGCAGTGAAATAGGTTCGCGCAGCTTGGAAGCGGGTTGTCCGGTGAAGGCTTTGGTGTGACCTATTTTTCTAATGTTTTGTTGATATTTCACAGGCGCGAGCTTTTTATATGTTATGACAGTAGATCAACTGTTTATATAATTTCATTTGTCTATTTCACCACACGTTCTTCTTACCGAGTCACTTTCTCAGTTCGATACTTAAAAGCAATGTCATTATTTAGCGTTGACAGAATTTCTAACTGTGATATAGATATGTCGTTGTCACAGACAAAACTCAATGTCTGTTTTATTGACACCTATGTGTCTGCCTGCCTGTCTGCTAATGACCATATTCAATACACAACTGCGATCACTGACCACATGCAATTTGAACTTAACACTAATCAGGCTATACACCATAAACAAAATGCATTGATTTATGGCCCGAGTTCGGTCTCTGTCACATTATGTAATTACACAGACAGGCAGGTGTGATACTTGTATACACATGACATGTTATGATGTCTGTTGATTGCAAAATGTTATACACAAAAAATGAGCATGTATTTACAAAACCCAACATCTCTATATATACACACACAATGAGCCGTGAGGGCATCTGCAAATGAACCAGCCGTTACACTTGAGTGCACACCCACCCGCTCTGACTGGGTTCGGTATCCCGGCTGCTTCGTTTCTTGGGAAGTAAACCCAAGTACACAATATTGCACTTTTGATTTGCGATTGTACGCTTATAATTTTGTTTATATGTTTTTTCATAACCAGCAATGTATATTATATGTCACGAATAAGTGATAATTGTGTTTTAATTATGTTTGATTGTTTGGTTGCATGTGACCTTTAAGTTAAAGTTGTGTTATCTAAATCTAAATCACGGCTTATAGACCAGTAGCAATCTCCTGTCAGGCGAGAGTCTACTGAAGGTATAGCCAGATGTACAGACCCATGCAAAAGGTATTCGGACATTTGACGTAATTTCCATAGACTTACATGTTATTTCAGTGTAACATGAATAATTACCATGAAGTGACTTTAGGGTGGATCTTTGTAAAATTTGACAGGCATATTTGAAATCATCTCTGCTCTGCGCTCATAATTTCAGTTCAATTTTCCGACCACTATTTAACTAATGACACCACATTTATCAACTTACGTATTGTTCCACAATGCACAATCCCATAGGCCGCCATTTTAAAGGAGTTCACGGCACTGTACATATGTTGATTAAATTGTTGCCATTCGATAAATAAGCAATGGAAAATTCAACAGAAATTATGTGATTGTAGGTTAGATGATTCCTCACAAACGTGCAAAATTTGGCTTGGATCTTACGAAAATTAAAATCATGAACATTATTAATGCTACACTAAATTAGCATGTAAGTCTATGGAAATAACGTCAAGTGTCCGAATACTTTTAGCATGACTGTTAGAATCTACACTTTTAATCTCTAATGTACTATGAGATACATTTGACCTCTTTCTGAATAGCTTTCGGCCGTGGGAGCCGTGCCAATTTACACTTATCAGAGGGGCACACAAAGTCAGCAGACTACCAGTTGTCCGACATCCATTTTTTTGGAAGTCGCGGTGGCTGAGCGGGTTAGGTGCCCGACTCTGAGGATGTGAGTTCGAATCCCGGATGGGACTTAACCCAACAAAAGTACTAGAATCTGTACGTTACTAAGAAAGAATAATCCCAAATATAACATACGTTACATTTGACCACGTTCTAAATGGCTTTGTGTAATCATCGCCGCGATATAGCTGAAAATCAACAAACAAACAAACGAGTAAGAACATGATTCAAGATTCTTTCAATCGTCTTCTTGTGAGTGAGTGAGTGAGTTTAGTGTTTCACCGCACTCAGCAATATTCCAGCTATATGGCGGCGGTCTGTAAATAATCGAGTCTGGACCACACAATCAAGTGATCAACAGCATATGAGCATCGATCTGCGCAATTGGGAACCGATGACATGTGTCAACCAAGTCAGCGAGCCTGACCACCCGATCCCGTTAGTCGCCTCTTACGACAAGCATGAGTTGCAGAAGATCAGTATTCTAACCCGGACCTTCATGGGTCTCGTCTTCTTGTGTTTTCATCAAACTGGTCCAAAGTATCAAAGAGAAAACCTAGACTCGTTCGGCTGCTCCAGTTCTGTGGTTCTCCTTGCCACAAGTTATTCGACTCTTACCAATATTTACCATCTTCACATCCAATTTAAAGAACTTTCTGTTCCAAATTCGGTATTAGTACTTGCATTTCATTCCTATTGCTTCTGGTAAGCCCTGCCTCTGTATCTACACCGTTGATATCAACTGAACTTCAGCATGATTGACAGAAGTCTCTGCGCTATATATGGAATTATCTTGTAAAATAATTAGCAATGGATAACGAAAACAGGACATAATCGTTAGGATCAGGACAATCCAGAACACTATGTGATGCCCATATATGGTGTTCCCGACATGGCATTGAAAAAAATATAACAATAATTCGGGCATTTCTGTAAGACATTTCACCCGTTATGTCACTTCTTGCAAGACAACTTACGTACGCTTCAGTTACTATCGATTGACTGTTTCATTTAATCTGACTTAAGTAAGTATTCGAATAAGCTAGCTTCGAGCAGAAAATCGGAAATGAACCTTGTTTCTTGTGTTTCCAGGACAAAAGGACAATTATGGGACATAATGTTCAATGAAAATAGGGTCCATACGACATATATTTGCAAAAATTTGCAGCATGTGCTGAAATGACATCTCAATACGGCAAGATGCAAATTACCGGGCGCAGAGCGGCGCTTCATCTCTGTACATCGCTTACGTCCCTTAATAACCCTGTTAGGAGTTTAGAAAACCGGAAGTGTCTGCCCCACGTGTTTTCAAGTTGTGTATCCGAAAATGATGTGACTGGATATTGTTTCTGTATTCGTGGAAGTTACAAAGTTCATTTGTAACTATGAATGTATTAAAATCGAAGTAAGTCATTCAAATATTTCGACTGTCATGTTCTTTTAAATAGTCTTGGTAACTGAATCTACGAAAGCTCAGTCCTGCATCATGCATGTTCAGTTTTCGATCAATTATTTACATTAGCTAATTCTAGTGAGTGTTGTCAATGGTTGGGACACTTCATTTCGCCTCTCAATCAACCACAGGCACAGTTTTAGCCACAATAACTAGAACTAATTAACGCATCCTCTTAGTTTGAGATTTAACAAGTGCATATGTTTGCCCGTGACAAGTGACCCTGCTTCCAGGTCATTGTGGACAAATTACGCTGTGAGTGTGAGTTTTGAAAGTACATTTTGAAACATCACAATCTCATTACTGTCATATTGTTACTGATCGTTCAACTGTTTATTTTTACAGCTTATCTATTGTGAGTAAATACGAAGCATTCTACACTGGTGGTCGTATACAGGTGAGATGTTTGATTGATCATGTTAATGGGGTCAGATATACTATAGATTGCTATATCTGTATGATGAGGTAATCATTCTGTTTCACAAGAAGACATACACCTAAAACCTCATTGGCAGTGAACCATGAAGACCGGGGTTAGACTTGGTCTTCAGCAACCCATGCTTGTCGGAAGAAACGACTAACGGGATCAGGTGGTCAGGCTCGCTCACTTGGTTGACACGTGTTATCGTATCCCAATTGCATAGATCTATGCTCATGCTGTGGATCACTGGATTGTCTGGTCCCGACTCGATTATTTACAGACGGGCGTCATATGGCTGGAATATTGCTGAATGCAGTGTTAAACAATAAACAAAATTTGCAATGATTTCTAGCTGGTGTACATATCAAATCATGAGTATTTCATTCATGGGAAGTATGTGTATTGGCAGGTGAGCAATGACGGCAAGCACCTGTTCTGTCCCTGTAACACCAAGATAACAATACTGGAAACAGACACAGGCAAAGTTGTCAAAACAATTGGACTGGTGAGTTTTATTCATGGAAGTATAGATGTTCTTTCCATATTACTCCATATTTGTTTTAGCATGAGTTCCGTCCCCTGTCTGATCCAGGATCTACTGTTAAAATTTCAGATTATGACCCTAAGTCTGTCAGCAGTATACAAATGTCCATGAGATTGTGCTGAACATTTTCAAGATGTGTATCTGTAATTTCCTCCATATTTATATATTAACAGATTTTGCTGACATACTCGCATATAACTGAAATCCAAATTTCAACATGACCTTAAATGTAACCCAATCACTCAGTCATTGCATGTCTTGCCACTTATGAGACGTATCTGTTTACCAGGATGAAGATGAAGAACTCTCCAGCTTCTGTGTATCACCTGATGATAAGGTGAGCTTTGACCACTTACTCTTAAATGTCACTAAAACAAAGGAACTGATCATTGACTTTCGGAGTAAGCCCACAGAAATGCTTCCAGTGATAATCAACGGTGAATGTGTTGAGACAGTGTCGGAGTATAAGTATCTGGGAACCTTCATTGACTCTAAGCTGAACTGGAACTCTAACACTGAAGCCCTATACAAAAAGTGTCAACAACATCTTCATCTCATGCGTAAACTGAGATCTTTTAATGTTAACCCATCTGTGATGTCATCTTTTTATGCAGCATTTATTCAGAGTATTTTAACAGGTCTCTCTCAGTTCATCTCAAATCTAAAATAGGCAAAATTGTTAACACTGCAAGTAAAATCGCTGGAGTCAGATTTGAATGTTTATCATCAATATATGAGCGGCAAATCGTGAATCAAGCTGTCAAAATTATATCTGACCGTACTCACTACTTAAATTCGGAATACAACCTCCTCCCTTCAGGCCGCCGCTACAAAGTTCCAATTGTGTAAACTAAGAGCCCGTACATCCTTTATTCCAAGTACCATATCTCTATTAAACAAATGTGAAGATACTTAAATCAAAGAATTTATGTTAATATGTTTGGTATCTCTCTGATGTGTCAGTAGCTCTGCAGATGTAACACAAATTCCTGAAAAGGCATGAAAGTATTATTCTATTCTATACCATACTCTTATTGCGTTTACATATTGCTGTACTTAAAGGGGTTCAAAAGGATAAAAATGATAATAGATCAAGACAGTGCTACAGGCTTCAGTTGCCATTTTCATAAACCACTAGTAAGTTAGTAAGAAATGAGCTGTGGGCTAGTTGCACATGACCATTGCCTCTACTCCTTGTCTCCAGGGTGATGATTGTTGGAGTGGTGCTACCTTGGAAAGGGTTCACTCTTGCTGCTGTCCTGGAAAGTATTGATTTTATGTAGGTCTCAAATGGTTAGAGACTTAAACTGCAGAGACTTGAATCATCTATTGAATTCTAGAACAGCAAGAAACTGTTGCTGTAGTTCCCTGTGTGTGTGCTGAATGTACAGTAAAGGGCCTCTCGAGGTCCACAGGACTCCAGGTTTGAATTGGTCTATTTTCCTTCTAAAAGGGCACTGAGCAGATTGGGTGAGCAGGTTCAGTCACTTGGTTGAATTCATGTCATCATAATCCGACTGTGCTGATTGTTGCTCAAAATATGTGGTTTGTCTGGTCCAGACAGTTATTTCCTGACAGCCCTGTCAGCAGGCTGCAATAGTTTCTGTTTTGACAACAAGAAGTAGGTGAATTGATGGAGTATGAGTGAAACGAGACTGTATGTATTTGGTGCTGTTGGTGTTCTGTCACTGTTGTGTCCTGTGTTTCAGCATCTGATCCTGGCTACACGGACACTGCTGCTGAGGCAGTGGGACTGGCAGGCTGGGACACTCACCAGGACGTGGAGGGTAAGCAGGCAACGAGAGATAATGGTTTCATCTATTGATGGGATAATGGGAAGTATTGTCCTGTATCTACTGATGGGAAGTATTGTCCTGTATCTACTGATGGGAAGTATTGTCCTGTATCTACTGATGGGAAGTATTGTCCTGTATCTACTGATGGGAAGTATTGTACTGTATCTACTGATGGGAAGTATTGTCCTGTATCTACTGCTGGGAAGTATTGTCCTGTATCTACTGCTGGGAAGTATTGTACTGTATCTGCTGATGGGAAGTATTGTCCTGTATCTTCTGATGGGAAGTATTGTCCTGTATCTACTGCTGGGAAGTATTGTACTGTATCTGCTGATGGGAAGTATTGTCCCGTATCTACTGATGGGAAGTATTGTCCTGTATCTTCTGATGGGAAGTATTGTCCTGTATCTACTGATGGGAAGTATTGTACTGTATCTACTGCTGGGAAGTATTGTACTGTATCTGCTGATGGGAAGTATTGTCCTGTATCTTCTGATGGGAAGTATTGTACTGTATCTTCTGATGGGAAGTATTGTACTGTATCTACTGCTGGGAAGTATTGTACTGTATCTACTGCTGGGAAGTATTGTACTGTATCTACTGATGGGAAGTATTGTCCTGTATCTACTGGTGGGAAGTATTGTCCTGTATCTACTGATGGGAAGTATTGTACTGTATCTACTGATGGGAAGTATTGTTCTGTATCTACTGATGGGAAGTATTGTACTGTATCTACTGCTGGGAAGTATTGTCCTGTATCTTCTGATGGGAAGTATTGTACTGTATCTACTGCTGGGAAGTATTGTACTGTATCTACTGATGGGAAGTATTGTCCTGTATCTTCTGATGGGAAGTATTGTACTGTACCTGCTGATGGGAAGTATTGTACTGTATCTACTGATGGGAAGTATTGTCCTGTATCTACTGCTGGGAAGTATTGTCCTGGATCTACTGCTGGGAAGTATTGTCCTGTATCTACTGCTGGGAAGTATTGTCCTGTATCTACTGCTGGGAAGTATTGTACTGTATCTACTGCTGGGAAGTATTGTACTGTACCTGCTGATGGGAAGTATTGTCCTGTATCTTCTGATGGGAAGTATTGTCCTGTATCTACTGATGGGATGTATTGTCCTGTATCTACTGATGGGAAGTATTGTCCTGTATCTACTGATGGGATGTATTGTACTGTATCTACTGATGGGATGTATTGTCCTGTATCTACTGATGGGAAGTATTGTCCTGTATCTTCTGATGGGAAGTATTGTACTATATCTACTGCTGGGAAGTATTGTACTGTACCTGCTGATGGGAAGTATTGTCCTGTATCTTCTGATGGGAAGTATTGTCCTGTATCTACTGATGGGATGTATTGTCCTGTATCTACTGATGGGAAGTATTGTCCTGTATCTACTGATGGGAAGTATTGTCCTGTATCTACTGATGGGAAGTATTGTCCTGTATCTACTGATGGGATGTATTGTCCTGTATCTTCTGATGGGAAGTATTGTACTGTATCTACTGCTGGGAAGTATTGTACTGTACCTGCTGATGGGAAATATTGTCCTGTATCTTCTGATGGGAAGTATTGTCCTGTATCTTCTGATGGGAAGTATTGTCCTGTATCTACTGCTGGGAAGTATTGTCCTGTATCTACTGTTGGGAAGTATTGTACTGTACCTGCTGATGGGAAGTATTGTCCTGTATCTTCTGATGGGAAGTATTATCCTGTATCTACTGCTGGGATGTATTGTCCTGTATCTACTGATGGGAAGTATTGTCCTGTATCTACTGATGGGAAGTATCGTACTGTATCTACTGCTGGGAAGTATTGTCCTGTATCTACTGCTGGGAAGTATTGTCCTGTATCTACTGATGGGAAGTATTGTCCTGTATCTACTGATGGGAAGTATTGTCCTGTATCTACTGATGGGAAGTATTGTCCTGTATCTACTGATGGGAAGTATTGTTCTGTATCTACTGATGGGAAGTATTGTACTGTATCTACTGCTGGGAAGTATTGTCCTGTATCTACTGATAGGAAGTATTGTACTGTATCTACTGATGGGAAGTATTGTCCTGTATCTACTGATAGGAAGTATTGTCCTGTATCTACTGATGGGAAGTATTGTCTTTTGCGTGATGAGCGGCTGCTTTAACCGTGTATCTATTGGCTGATAGATTGATCGTTGTTTCAGGCTGTCCACACTACCCCTGTGTCCTGCATGGTGTTTGACGGGACGTCCACTCTGCTGGCTACTGGGGGCAGTGATGCCACCATCAAGGTGTGGGACATCGTGGAGCAGTACTGCACTCACAACTTCAAGGGCCACCAGGGAGTGATCAGGTGCAAAGTAGTTCACTAACATCAGTTGTACTATAAACTCGGTGTACATCAACTAGTTTTTTTTTGTTTTTTACATGGTGAAATGAATAGTACATATTGGTTGCAATGTTCTGGAAAACAGGCAGACACGAATGCCAAGGTAAAAGTTCTGTCGTATTGGATACGTTTTGTATATTTCACTCTCAGCTTTAACACAGGCTGTGCCGTCACAGGCTGTGACGGCAGTATTTTGTTTGTTCGGTTTACGTTGAGATGCCGAGTTAAAAAAATCATTGCACAAAATATCGACAGGGCTACAGATAAGGAGCGTACAGCCGTAATGTACACCTAAAAATCAATGACGTTCGACATAATATAAGATTTCAAGCGTATCATGTACGCACATAAATACCTTTGTATGTCTAACATAGATAAAGTTTAACAGCTGAAAAGTTGATTAATATTATAAATAACAAACCACATCACCGGTTCGCTCACACAAAAGCATGTAAGTACTCCTTCAAAATTATCAGTACACCTCCACTTGCAATATAAGGTGCAAGTACACCCACACCCTCAAAAGTTATCTGGAGACCTGATCGATGTACAATTTTTAGAGTATTTTAGAGCATAACAAAATTTCTAACATCACCTGGCAGTGTCTATATTTCAAGCTGCCTTAGACCGCTTCCGTGGTGTAGTGGTTAGAGTGTCCGCCTGGAGAGCCGAAAGGTCCTCGCGATGCCCGACCGCGTCATACCAAATGACGTTAAAATATGGTACTTGTTGGTCCCTGCCTGGTGCTCGGCATTAACAACAAGGACTGGTCGGCTCGGAGTCAGTATAATGTGTCTGAGTGGGGTATTCATGCTTCACTCCGGCATGGTATCTCAGTGGGCTAGCACTATAAAACCAGCTTAAGTCTGGGCTAGTTCAAGCTGCCGCACATACAAACACGCACGCGCATGCACATCGTCATATGAGCGAAATATTCTCAAGCACGACGTTAAACCCAATTTCACCTCACCTCAAGCTGCCTTAGTATTTGCACTTGAATCTGCACCATTGAATAGGAAATTAAACTTCCTACATGTCAATTGTTCCCTGAATTGCAGTGTGATGGCATTCCGACCGGAGTCTTCCAATATCCAGCTGGTCTCGGCTGCTGATGACTATAAGGTCCGTGTGTGGGATCTGGTGACTAGTGCCTGTGTTGCCACCATGGACGTCCACTACAGCCTTGTCACCAGCCTCGTCTTCTCCCCTGACGGCACAGCCATGTACAGGTAGGGCCTACACGTCATTAGCCTGTCTTGACACAGCAGCATTTGACCTACAGACACTCTGATCATGTCAGGTAGATAGTAGTTGGACATGTTTGGCTAGTAAACATGTATCTGTGTTGACAGTGGTGGCCGTGACAGCGTGGTTGTCGTGTGGGACATGGAGAAGTTGGCAGTCAGGAGGACGCTGCCAGTGTTCGAGGTAAGTATTGCAGCAGTAAAGGTTCAGGCGATCTGCTCGTATGGGAGTACTTGATGTTGGTTTGTGTGGTGTTTGAATCTCGGATAACGTGAGGTGAAGTGGCATTCATTGTTGCACACCAGATTATTGCACTGATGAAGTGACCCAGCAATATGCATCAGATTTGTGGGTGTATGGATACCCTACTCAGATGTAGTATACTGCCTTCAAGTCTGTGTGCTATCCCATTCTATACAAGCTACCATCTTATAAAATATCCTGGTATGATGCTGACCATGGTATCAAATCACATAACATTCAACATTGTCACCAGCTAAGGGAGGTAACTCTTACCACCTTAATACATGGACCTGTTGCACATCTGAGATCTCTCTCTACCATGTTTACAGGGTCGTAGAATCCTGGTATTTTGAGTTTTCAAGGAGTGGAAAACTGGAAAAGTTTATAAAATCATTGAAAAACATTACAAAATTATACTTGTAATTCCTTTTGGTAGGGCTGTGTATTGGCAAATGTATGGTATCGCAATATATGTCTCTGAAATCATTGATATCAAAAATAGGTTGCGTAGTTAGGGATTCTTTCTTTTCTAAACAGTTCATGAATATGTAAAGTATGCTGTTTTGTCAATTAGACACAAAGCGAATCATCAGAGGTGAACAATAACTGAACATAGTGGATGAAAGTCTGTGTAGATTTTAACTTAAAGCAAAGAGATAATGACAAATTGCTTTTACCCTTTTACCCAATGTACCGGTTCTCAGAAAATTATTGCCTTGACCTGTCCCTTTACCTATACAGAGTGTGGAGTCGGTGATGCTTCTACGGGATGATTGTGACTACAGTGACCTTGACCTACCATCTCCAGACTGTCCGCATGTCCTTGTAGCCAGCAGTAAAGGTGAGATCATCTCCTGACATCATGTCCTTGTAGCCAGCAGTAAAGGTGAGATCATCTCATGACATCATGTCCTTGTAGCCCTCAGTAAAGGTGAGATCATATCATGACAGGAGTAAAGGTGAGATCATCTCCTGACATCATGTCCTTGTAGCCAGCAGTAAAGGTGAGATCATCTCATGACATCATGTCCTTGTAGCCCTCAGTAAAGGTGAGATCATATCATGACAAGAGTAAAGGTGAGATCATCTCCTGACATCATGTCCTTGTAACCAGCAGTAAAGGTGAGATCATCTCCTGATAGCAGTAAAGGTGAGATCATCTCATGACATCATGTCATGTATTATTAATCAGATGATTGAGACACCCTACATGTCAGTCCTGTGTTCTCTTCACTCTGGTGCTCATGTAATGTGTGCCCAATTTTAAAACATTGGATTTCCTGTTTGCAGCGTTCGAAACAATCGCCGACCGGAGGCCCAGCACCGGTTGTTATTGTATTGGGCCCGCAGTTTCAAATATTTGCAGGCCCTTGTGTCCTTCAGTAAATTATCTGTCAATGTATTTCATTTTCAACTGGAATCTTTCCCATATTGTTTTTCTTTATTAACGTTCAGGAATCATCCATGATCCATCCTGTTACGATATGGAAGATTACCTTTTGTGTGATGCAGTTTTTAGTCATGGTCAGTTCTCAGAATTGCATTAACAAGATCTTGAAAATAAGGTCAAGGTCACCCTGAAATGACTGGTGTCTCTGCGTAATCACCCAATGTGGGCGGTCAACATAATTGAAGACATTGGGTGCAACGTTTTATGAGATATCACGTTTACATATGTTTGAAAAGTGGTCAAAGTGTCATGGTGACATTGAAGATAGGTTACGGTCATCCAATCGACTGGTGTCTGCGTAATCCTCCAATGTAGGCTGACACCAATTTTGAAGATATTGGATAGAACAGTGCATGAGATATCGTGTCAACAAGAATCGTGACGTACGTACGTACACTGCTGAATACATAGTCCCCCCGTTCCTCATTGTGGAGGGCAACAATAATACAGGCTACACTTCGGTTATAACATCTAAAACATGCTATACTTCAGTTATAACATAAACATGCTATACTTCGGTTATAACATATAACACACACTATACTTCAGTTATAACATATAACACATGTTATGATTCAGTTATAACATATAACAGGTTATACATCAGTTATTACAGACAGACTATACTTTAGTTATAACATACAAGACAGGTTATACTTCAGTTATAACATACAAGACAGGTGATACTTCAGTTATAACATAACAGGTTATACATCAGTTATTAGACTTAATTAGTTATAACATACAAGACAGGTTGTGCTTCAGTTATAACAACACAGGTTATACTTCAGTTATAACATATAACAAGGTTATACTTCAGTTATAACATAACAGGTTATACATCAGTTATTACAGACAGACTATACTTCAGTTATAACATATAACGCAGGTTATACATCAGTTATTACAGACAGACTATTCATCAGTTACTGGATTGCCATCTGAAACAGCCACATACTGTTTGTTTCCTGCATACTCAACACAATCAATAACATCCCACATGTTACCCTGCCTGTCACACCTGATGACTCTAGTTTGTTCAGGAAGTTACAGGTCATAACGTCCTCATTTAGTAGTACCTAATCAATATTATAGGCCATTTTTGACAGGGATATTTCTTTTATTTTTTCTTAACACTTAAAATTGATTTTCATGTGAAGTGATTATCAACAAAGCAATCTTTTCAACAAAGTTGTGTCATACTTTCAACAAACAGACAGTGTTTGCAATACTTTAATTTGCCAGTGGGCCATCAGGGCCTGCTACCGCCTGAAGGCCTTAAAATCTACAGGCCCTGAATGAAATCTGCTTGCCCATTTTGTTAAAATCAAACCAATAAAAACAAAATAGACTACACCGATTCATTTAGCGAATCCTGAGCGCTGAGAGAAGTATTTGTTTGTTAAAGACTGGTGTTGATATTCCTACACTGAAAAGCACTGAAATACCAGAAAGTGAAACTGTGAGTGTTGTGACCAAAAGATAACAACTAGTAAATATGTTATATTTAATTATTTTTTTGTGGCTCGGGACATTTCCATGTTAGTGGCAAACACTTGTATGTAGAACTGACTGACTGACTGAGTTTAGTTTTACGCCGCTTTTAGCAATATTCCAGCAATATCACGGCGGGGGACACCAGAAATGGGCTTCACACATTGTGCCCGTGTGGGGAATCGAGCCCGGCGTGACAAGCCAATGCTTTAACCACTAGGCTACCCCACCGCCCCTTGTATGTCATAACTGCTGTATATTCTGTGATGTTTTGCTGCAGGCAAGATACGTGTCATCAACACTCTGACAGGAGGGTGTGTTCACAAGAAGAATGCCATCACTGCTGCTGCTGTGGATGAAGAAGACAGTGAGCAGGTGGTCACTCAGGCCATACACTGCCCAGCCATCAACTCTGTGGTCATCGTCACATACGACCACAACATCATCTTCTATGATGAGCAAAACCTCTCAGTCTCCAAACAAGTAAGTTACAAATGGCATATAAGCAGTCAGATACATACATGCAAGCTGGCTATAAGCAGTTAGATACATACATGCAAGTTGGCTATAAGCAGTCAGATACATACATGTAAGCTGGCTATAAGCAGTCAGATACATACATGCAAGCTGGCTATAAGCAGTTAGATACATACATGCAAGCTGGCTATAAGCAGTCAGATGCATACATGCAAGCTGGCTATAAGCAGTCAGATACATACATGCAAGCTGGCTATAAGCAGTTAGATACATACATGCAAGCTGGCTATAAGCAGTCAGATACATACATGCAAGCTGGCTATAAGCAGTCAGATGCATACATGCAAGCTGGCTATAAGCAGTCAGATGCATACATGCAAGCTGGCTATAAGCAGTCAGATGCATACATGCAAGCTGGCTATAAGCAGTGAGATGCATACATGCAAGCTGGCTATAAGCAGTGAGATGCATACATGCAAGCTGGCTATAAGCAGTCAGATACATACATGCAAGCTGGCTATAAGCAGTTAGATACATACATGCAAGCTGGCTATAAGCAGTCAGATGCATACATGCAAGCTGGCTATAAGCAGTTAGATACATACATGCAAGCTGGCTATAAGCAGTTAATCAGATCTCATGAGAATGAAGGGGATATTTTAGTTTCAGTCGTCTTAAGGGGCTGCATTTCACTGGGCAGAGTTGCCTGCCTTTGGCCGGCCAGAATCCTCTATCTGTTTGACTCCCTGTTAACTGAAATACTTCTAGGTTTGTCAACTCCATAACAATGCATTTTTGTTTCATCGAGGTAAAAGTCTGATACCTGCATCACTTACGGCTTTCTTACTGCATTGAGGTGACTCATCTTGATATCACTTGATAATATTCAAAGATTTGTTCAATAACACTCACTCACATAGAGACCAACATGACAGGACAGTTGACTGGATGCCAGGACTGGATATGACTTACCAGGATGCCAGGACTGGACAATATAAGGACATCAAGACTTACCAGGATGGCAGGGCTGGACAATGTAAGGACATCAAGACTTACCAGGATGGCAGGGCTGGACAATGTAAGGACATGAAGACTTACCAGGATGCCAGGACTGGACAATGTAAGGACATAAAGACCTACCAGGATGTCAGGACTGGACAATATAAGGACATAAAGACCTACCAGGATGCCAGGACTGGACAATATAAGGACATAAAGACCTACCAGGATGCCAGGACTGGACAATGTAAGGACATGAAGACCTACCAGGACGCCAGGACTGGACAATGTAAGGACATCAAGACTTACCAGGATGCCAGGACTGGACAATGTAAGGACATCAAGACTTACCAGGATGCCAGGACTGGACAATGTAAGGACATCAAGACTTACCAGGACTGGACACTATAAGGACATGAAGACTTACCAGGATGGCAGGGCTGGACAATGTAAGGACATGAAGACTTACCAGGATGCCAGGACTGGACAATGTAAGGACATAAAGACTTACCAGGACTGGACAATGTAAGGACATCAAGACTTACCAGGACGCCAAGACTGGACAATGTAAGGACATAAAGACTTACCAGGACTGGACAATGTAAGGACAACCAGACTTACCAGGATGGCAGGGCTGGACAATGTAAGGACATGAAGACTTACCAGGATGCCAGGACTGGACATTGTAAGGATATAAAGACCTACCAGGATGCCAGGACTGGACAATGTAAGGACAACCAGACTTACCAGGATGCCAGGACTGGACATTGTAAGGACATAAAGACCTACCAGGATGCCAGGACTGGACATTGTAAGGACATGAAGACTTACCAGGACGCCAAGACTGGACAATGTAAGGACATAAAGACTTACCAGGACTGGACAATGTAAGGACATCAAGACTTACCAGGATGACAGGGCTGGACAATGTAAGGACATGAAGACTTACCAGGATGCCAGGACTGGACAATGTAAGGACATAAAGACCTACCAGGATGCCAGGACTGGACAATGTAAGGACATCAAGACTTACCAGGACTGGACACTATAAGGACATGAAGACTTACCAGGACTGGACACTATAAGGACATGAAGACTTACCAGGATGCCAGGACTGGACAATGTAAGGACATAAAGACCTACCAGGATGCCAGGACTGGACATTGTAAGGACATGAAGACTTACCAGGACGCCAAGACTGGACAATGTAAGGACATAAAGACTTACCAGGACTGGACATTGTAAGGACATCAAGACTTACCAGGATGCCAGGACTGGACATTGTAAGGACATCAAGACTTACCAGGATGCCAGGACTGGACATTGTAAGGACATAAAGACCTACCAGGATGCCAGGACTGGACAATGTAAGGACATCCAGACTTACCAGGATGCCAGGACTGGACATTGTAAGGACATAAAGACCTACCAGGATGCCAGGACTGGACATTGTAAGGACATCCAGACTTGCCAGGATGCCAGGACTGGACATTGTAAGGATATAAAGACCTACCAGGATGCCAGGACTGGACAATGTAAGGACATGAAGACGTACCAGGATGTCAAGACTGGACAATGTAAGGACATGAAGACTTACCAGGATGCCAGGACTGGACAATGTAAGGACATAAAGACTTACCAGGATGCCAGGACTGGACATTGTAAGGACATCAAGACTTACCAGGACTGGACACTATAAGGACATGAAGACTTACCAGGATGCCAGGACTGGACAATGTAAGGACATGAAGACTTATCAGGATGCCAGGACTGGACAATGTAAGGACATAAAGACTTACCAGGATGCCAGGACTGGACAATGTAAGGACATAAAGACTTACCAGGATGCCAGGACTGGACATTGTAAGGACATCAAGACTTACCAGGACTGGACACTATAAGGACATGAAGACTTACCAGGATGCCAGGACTGGACAATGTAAGGACATAAAGACTTACCAGGACTGGACAATGTAAGGACATGAAGACTTACAAGGATGCCAGGACTGTACAAGTCACTGGGACATGTTGCTATGACTGGACACAGTGACTGGACACTATTACATGTCCTGGGCCTAGATCTTCGAAGCTCTCTTAGATCTAAGAAAGTCGTAAGTTAATGTTAATGTAGTTACTTACGACTACCTTAGCACTAAGAGAGCTTCGAAAATCTAGGAAGAACAACAAGACTCGCTTCCTCGAGTTGTTTAGAGCTGTGTTACAGTTTGCAGCTGTATTAGTGATTTGCCACTGTGTACAGATGGATCAAAGACACCAAGCAGTTCCTGCAAGTTCTAGTTGTTTCTGTGTTTCAGCTGTCTGGCAGTGCTGATGAGGTGCTGGATGTACAGTTTGTGGGCGAGGATGACACACACCTGGTTGTGGTCAGCAACAGTGCCAAGCTGAAGGTGTTCAATGTGAGCACGTGGGGATGTCAGATTGTGGAGGGGCACTCGGACATCGTGCTGGGTGTAGCTGTGTATGCTAAAACAGGCCTTGTGGCTACTTGCTCCAAGGTAAGGAAGTCAAAGGGACAGATGAGTTTCAACATCCTCTGTATCTCAGGGGCTGGCATCTTACTAAACTTACTTAACTTTTTGGTCCTTTGCTATGGTTCACAAAGACAACCATTCTGTCAAGAAATATTTTAGGGCTTTTTTAGCATGTCAGTCTTATTTTCAATATTTAATTGAATTTAGACCTAGTATCATAGCCAGTCAGATTGGCAAGTGGAAATCAAGGGCAGGCAATTTGACATAACGAGAACCATGGGAATTGAACCCTCAAGATATCAAGGATGAAATGTACATGGTTATTATGAAAACTCATTCTTTTGTACATTCTCTTCCCACAGAGGTTACTTGTCATATCTTCCTTCGAACCTCTGTTCTAATACGGCCATATTTACCAGTTCTTGTAAAATCCCCTAGCAGCAAAAAATCGCAAAAGGAATTATCTCCTTTCTTTCTATCCAATCAGAACGTGTGTTACATCGATCAAACTTGACTAATGCAAGCAAATATGGGTCTGTCCTGTGTTGTGTGTGAGCAGTTCTACTGTGTTGTGTGTTCGGGGCGGTGGGGTAGCCTAGTGGTTAAAGCGTTGGCTCGTCACGCCGAAGACTCGGGTTCGATTCCCCACATGGGCACAATGTGTTAAGCCCATTTCTGGTGTCCCCCGCCGTGATATTGCTGGAATATTGCTAAAAGCGGCGTAAAACTAAACTCAGTCAGTCAGTGTTGTGTGTTCCAGGACTCGACGGTGAGACTGTGGATGTTTCTGCCAGAGACTGGGAGTCTGTCCTGTGTTGGTGTCTGTCATGGCCATGTACAGGCTGTCAGCTCTGTCGCCTTCTCCAGGTAAGTTCCACACTTCTCACTACAGGCAGACTGGGGATTCTTAGGACAGACATAAACAAGAGACAACCTTTATGTAGGTCTAAGCTGGAGGTAGTCTCTGTTCAGGTCTAAGCTGGAAGTAATCTCTGTTCAGGTCTAAGCTGAAGGTAGTCTCTGTTCAGGTCTAAGCTGGAGGTAGTCTCTGTTGAGGTCTAAGCTGGAGATAGTCTCTGTTGAGGTCTAAGCTGGAGGTAATCTCTGTTCAGGTCTAAGCTGGAGGTAATCTCTGTTCAGGTCTAAGCTGGAGGTAGTCTCTGTTCAGGTCTAAGCTGTAGGTAGTCTCTGTTCAGGTCTAAGCTGAAGGTAATCTCTGTTCAGGTCTAAGCTGGAGGTAGTCTCTGTTCAGGTCTAAGCTGGAGGTAGTCTCTGTTCAGGTCTAATCTGGAGGTAATCTCTGTTCAGGTCTAAGCTGGAGGTAATCTCTGTTCAGGTCTAACCTGTAGGTAGTCTCTGTTCAGGTCTAAGCTGAAGGTAATCTCTGTTCAGGTCTAAGCTGGAGGTAGTCTCTGTTCAGGTCTAACCTGTAGGTAGTCTCTGTTCAGGTCTAAGCTGGAGGTAGTCTCTGTTCAGGTCTAAGCTGAAGGTAATCTCTGTTCAGGTCTTAGCTGGAGGTAGTCTCTGTTCAGGTCTAACCTGTAGGTAGTCTCTGTTCAGGTCTAAGCTGGAGGTAGTCTCTGTTCAGGTCTAAGCTGAAGGTAGTCTCTGTTTAGGTCAAAGCTGGAGGTAGTCTCTGTTCAGGTCTAAGCTGGAGGTAATCTCTGTTCAGGTCTAAGCTGGAGGTAGTCTCTGTTCAGGCCTAACCTGTAGGTAGCCTCTTTTCAGGTCTAAGCTGGAGGTAGTCTCTGTTCACGTCTAACCTGTAGGTAGTCTCTGTTCAGGTCTAAGCTGAAGGTAGTCCCTGTTTAGGTCTAAGATGAAGGTAGTCTCTGTTCAGGTCTAAGCTGGAGGTAGTCTCTGTTCAGGTCTAAGCTGGAGGTAGTCTTTGTTCAGGTCTAAGCTGGAGGTAGTCTCTGTTCAGGTCTAAGCTGGAGGTTGTCTCTGTTCAGGTCTAAGCTGGAGGTAGTCTTTGTTCAGGTCTAAGCTGGAGGTAGTCTCTGTTCAGGTCTAAGCTGGAGGTAGTCTCTGTTCATAGCTCAGCTGGTTCTCTGTTCCTCCAGAGCGTGATCACTATTCTGCTTACTGGAAAAACATGATAATCATGATACTTTCTGTTGGTCCCATGCAACTTTTCTAGGGACATGTATATACAGTACAACCAGAAATTATTGAGAATTTAAAGATTGTAAATTTGTTTATTTTTTTCACTCATTACTCACGTATTAAATGTGAATATTAGCAGAACATAACTCCAGATTCAGAGACAGGTGAACAGTTAGTATTTTGTCAAGTCACCATGGGCAGCAATGCAGGCTTCCATGTGGCGGGGCATACTACTGATCAAAGAAGTTAGAAAGTCGTGGTCCATGCTGTCCCAATATCGCACCTCCTCTTCTTTCTTTTCAGCAATATTTGTCAGATTTTTCTTATTGACGCTTTCCTTCATAGGTCCCCAAACATTTTCTATTGGATTTAGGTCAGGGCTATAGCTTGGCCAATCTAATAATGTCATATTTTGGGTTCGAAACCAGGCCCGTGAATGCTTTGAACGATGTTTTTGGTCCTTGCCCTGCTGGAAAATCCGAAAAATTCCATAGAACACATGAGCAGACGGAAGTAAATGTCCCTCGAGAATATCTGTGTACCGCTCACTGTTCATATTCTCTTCAAATACACAGAGGGGCGTTGCCCCTAAAACAGATTTGTCACCCCACACGTTAAATTTCGGACTGTACTTTGGGCGCTGATACAAAGGTTTTTCAGTTTGTTTGGTCCAGAATTTCAGTGTATTAGGAAACAGCCACACAGAACTTTCATCTGAGAAAATCACATTGTCCCAGTTAAAATTTTTATGCTGTAAGCACCAGTTCAACCTTCGCTCCTTTTGTTCAGGTTTCATGATTGGTGATGGAACTCCTCGACTTTTCTGCCAACCCATTGCATGCAGCTAGGTTCTAATTGTCTCCTTACAGACAGCCACAGCTCCTCTATCAATCATATCCAGCCTTACGTTTTCTAAACTCCTTCGTTTGTTTTTAGAAACAAGAATACCAAGCCGCCTCCGTAAATTTTCTGGGCCTACAAGCGCCTCCCTGGTGCTCAGTGCCATATCCATTTGCAATATTTTTCAAAACACGATAAACAGTGGACAAAGGGATGCCTGTTCTACTTGAAATCACTTTAGCTGATCTGATGTCCTTGTTAAAATACTCTAAAATCAACTTCCTCTTCTCTAAATCATCCATACTGAGGATCACTGAAAATGTCGTCTGCTAGCAAGTAAACAAAGGGGAATAACTCTTCTCAAACTAATGAAAAAGGATTAATGGAGTTGTCTCTCTTGAATGAAACCAAGCACTTGATAGCTGGTGAAGGTTGTTTATACTAGAAATCCAATTAAACATATTCCTAAAATTCTCAATAATTTCTGGTCATACTATATGTCCTTGACATTGTAGAAAATCCCCATCATTCATAGTGAGTGGTGGTCGAGACAGCACTCTGAAGTTGTGGTCAATAGAATCTGCCTCCAGCACTGATGGTCTGACGGAACTGACCTGTCGGGCCACAGAGCGGGGACATGAGAAGGACATCAACTGTGTAACTGTTGCACCAAATGACAAGTTCATTGCCACAGGCTCACAGGATAAGACGGCAAAGGTGAGTGGCTTTTAGTTTCAAGATCATTGCATAAGATTCTAGAAGATCACAAACGAGATGTCATATCCCTCAAGTTCATTGCAATGAAGTTGTAGAATAATTATGTTGAGTGTTTCATTGTCAAGGTTGCTTGCTTGGTTGTTTAACACCGCCGCACTCAGCAATATTCCAGCTATATGGCGGCGGTCTGTAAATAATCAAGTCTTGACCAGTGATCAACAATGTAAGCATCAATCAACACAATTGGGATACGATGACCCGTGTCAACCAAGTCAGCGAGCCTGACCGCAGGGTTTTATCAAGTAGAATCCTATTCCATATATACGATAGGATAATCTTTTGTTTCCCGCCTCCTACTACAAGCATGGGTTACTGAAGATCAATTCTAACCCGGATCTTCACGGGTCTGATTGTCAAGATCATGACAGTGACAAGACCAGAGAACCAGGGTGTCGGTGGTCATCCCATTAGGTCGGAGGCTAGGTCCAAAACAAAGCCCAAAGGGTCAAGAGTCACACAGACATAATTAAATGGCAATGTTCTTCACTAAGGGGCATGAATTCTAAAGCAGCTCTTCAGTACAGCAAGTAGAAATAATCTGGAGGAAATATGAAGTTCCATGTTGTTGAAACTATTCAAGTTAAAAAGGCAGGGATAGAATGCACTTTTGATCATCCAATTAAACTTAAAACAGCACTACAATTGCGTCATTACAGTTATTTTTGCTTATCCTGACTCATGCTAAATGCTTGTCTCCTTCTTCTTGCGAATGATAGTGGAACACTTGAAATCCCTTGAAGTTCCCTTCTAAAAAGCGAACGTAAAATCATCACTCACCCACGAGTAGTCTCCCTTGCCTCCTTTGGCGCCCTTTTGGGTCACATGACTAGCCATATTTGTCACTCTCTCCTTCTTCGCCCTTGAGGACGGTTGTGATAGCACCTGGGTCCTTATACGGCACATATCCTTTTCTCTTTTGGACCTTTACATCAAAATTATTGCTGTATACGGTTTTAGGATTGTATACTACTAATATAGTTTAAAATTTTATCTAAATTATACGTTGTTTGACATGGTTTTTCATCGTGTTTACATTTGATGAAGACTTGTATTCGTTGTAGGTACCAGCTGTCTGCGGCTGACCCACATTTATTATGTCCTGATTGCACTACTTCATGTTCTTCCAGCTCTCGCTGTAAACATTGTCTGAATTTAACCACTTTTGAATTTAATAATTACCTTTTTTCTATTCATAGACGTGCAAAGGACTGGGTAAGAAGGTATTCACAAGTCATGTCTAAATCGAGTGATTGCGCTGATAACCGTGTGTTAACTACTGCTGCCGATGTTGATAATTCCAGTGAATCGCCGAGCGTTTTACGGGGGCAGGTCGCTGTTCAAGTGATGAACTCTGGCTCCAATAAGAGATCGTCGTCAACAGAGCTGACCTCTTCACAGACGAAGAAGACTAGATCGTCTTCAACGCAGAAGAAGAAGGCTACAACCCCTAAGACTTCGTCGAAGCCTCATCACAGCTCTACACAGAAGACGAGATCCTTCTCTGCCGAGATTGTACCTCCGGAAGAAGCAGACGTGTATGATGATCCTCCCATCCTCATACCTGAAGTCACAGTCCTCAGCAAGAAGACGAAGCCTGCTTCTACAGCTACATTGGCAACCTTATCATCGCAGACATTGACGGAAGACCTTCTGTCAACGCAGAAATTGGGTACCAGAGATAACAGCAGTTTCAACTCTTCACAAGTGCAGCGTGCTTTAGAAGATGCCTCATCGTTGTCAGAAGTATCATCAACCCTGCAGCAGTCTCTTCAGACATCGCAGAACTTCAACCCGGGGCTGTTTATGCAACAGTTTACAGACCAGATGATGTCGATGATGGAACGTCGCTTCATGCAGGAGAAAGCTGCTACGAAGACCACTACGATGACTACAAGCCTGCGTGAAGATTCAGCAGCTTCTTCAATGCACTTGGAAGAAGAGGGAAGCCTGTGTGAAGGCTCACTCATCTGATGATCTTTCCCGTCTGAAGTTAGGAGCCTGGACAACGCTACCAGCGTCAGCTCAGCCTTAGACATCCCTGAAGGAGCCGCTAAGAATTCTCCACGCAGAGGCAGATCGAAGCGTTCTCCCGAACCCTACAGACGTCGTAGATACGGGTCGTCATCACCATCGGGAAACTGCACGCAGGCACTCCACATCTCATAGAGGGGAAACTGCACCTAAGAATCAACCTTCAAGAAGGCCTAGAGAGAGATCTCAAGACTCCAAGAAGGATACATGATCATATCAGGATCGTTCACCTGCACGCAGTTCGACATACATATCTTTATACAGAGACTCACGTCGTCTTGGATCGTCAGATTGGGAGATGTCTAAATCGGATGAAGAAGGTGAAGTCATATTCTCCAATACGGAAGTAACCCCATGGATTGCTAATGGCCTGGACCTAGCATCACCTTCCAAGGACACGAGCGTTTATATACAAGATGTCCAACGATGATTTTGACACACTCACCTTTCCGCCTATCGACCCGATCTCCCAAGTACCGGACAGTCTCAGCTCAGCCTTTGATAAGGCTACCAAGTTCCAGAATCAACATATCCCTACATTCAACGCCAGGAGATTCCCCATCACATGGAACCCTTCCTGAAGGCACCAGAGATTGATGAGGACTACAAGATCATCAACGACTCCCGCTATAGAACTTACAAGATAGAGTACAAGAAGCTAGCTCAACTGGATACGACTACCAGATGTACCTTTTTTGGACTAGCCAGCTCTAGGGCTATCAACGAAGCACTCATCTCGAAGTTCAAGAACTCCACCGCCGAAGGCGACCGGATGATATATTCAGCTATACTGACTCAGAAAAAGGACCACCAGTTTATGTCGGAGCATCTAGCATCCACATCAGCAGTCCTGACTCTCCTGAGGAAACAAGGATTATTGTCAGCGTGCACCTGGAGTGAGCGGTTCACCAAGTCCTTTTACAGAGCCCCATGGTCAGCATCATCCATGTTTGGAGGAGGAATTCAAGAAGTCGCCAAAGAGGTTACACAGGTATCAAGGGAGGTTATGATGATCAAGTCCATAGATACCTTGGCAAATTTGATTCGCCAGACATTCCAGCGCTACTCCAACAAATCCAAGTGTGCAGGAGTCCAGAGAGACAGAGAAAAGAAATATTTGAGAGGAGTAAGAGGTTCTTTTCGACGCCCAACCGGAGCCCCCAGAAACAACCCCGGAAGAGTCCGAGTACCCAGGGGTGACAAGGGAATCCAACCCCAGCCGTTCCTGTACAACCTTCGATAGTGGGTGGACATCTTCAACAGTACTGGGAGAATTGGGGATTACTACAGGACGACTACGTATCCCAGATACTACACAGAGGGTACAAGATACAGTTGGCAGCCACTCCGCCGCTTACAATTTTCCTAGTACCGAGGAAGAATTCCAAGGAGAAGTTTCGGCTCATCTACAACATGAGGAAGTTCAACCAGGGGTATCTCCGCAGACCAGCAAACTTCAAGATGATACATCTTCCTCAGCTCTGACATCTCGTTCGTCCATCAGACTACCTCGCCAGCATAGACCTACAAGATGCTTACCTTCACATCCAGATACATCCAGACTCAAGGAAATACCTACGGTTCCTTTTCAACGGACATCACTTCCAGTGGAAGGTTCTACTGTTTGGAATATCGTCGGCCCCCTGGTTGTTTACTCGAGTGATCAAGCCCATCGTCACATATCTACCATGTCGAGGTCTACGTAGTGCTTTTTACCTGGATGACGGAATTCAAGTTCATCAATATCCCAGTTAACTCAGACTGCAACTAGACTTCACCATCAGGCTTATTACTCAGTTAGGATGGCTGGTAAATCTCTTCAAGTCGGAACTGGAGCCGAAACAGGATCTTCAATTTCTAGGAATACGACTCATCACGCCGGTGAATCGCATAGTCGTCCCAGAGTATTGTTGGGTCAAGATACAACATATGATATCTCAAGCAATGCTCTCTCCATTGACACTACATGCTTGGCAAAGCATGCTCGTCTACTCACCTCAGCACAAGACATGACTCGCAGAGGGAGATTACAGCTGTGCCCACTACAAATATTTGTGAACGCCCATCTCGACAGTCTGGATCCGCTGATACTACCGGACAGCATGAAACCATACCTCCTATGGTGGACTCAGAAGTTGAATGTTTGTGGAGGAACCTTTTTTGTCAGAGCGGATGCATCACTACAAGTATGGGGTGCCCACCTCGACAACAAAGTGGCAGCAGGGAAGTGGTGGAGTCAGGATCAGAGTCTGCACATCAACCTGTTGGAGATGAAAGCAGTGCTCAACGCTTTACAACACTGGTCCAGCGTACTAAGGAACTCAAGGCTCACGGTCCACACGGACAACTCCACAGTAGCATTCTACATCAACAAACAAGGATCAACAAGATCAGCAAGTCTGTTAAAACTCAGCTTTCTTCTGTTCAGCATCGTCGACGACCGGAACATCTACATGAAGGCATGCCACATTCCAGGAGCAAAGAATGTCATATCAGACGCCCTATCTCGTCCACTACAACCATCCCTGACGGAATGGATGTTACACCCAGAAGTGTTCCGGTTCGGCATACAGACAATAGTATCTCCACTGATAGACCTGTTTGCAACAAAGTTCAACAAGCAACTACCAACATTCGTCTCACCGATTCCAGATCCTCAGGCATGGGCAACAGATGTTTTAAGCATCTCATGGGAAGGACTAAACGCTAAACGCGTTTTCACCTCCAGCACTATTACCACAAGCAATACAGAAAATCAAGCAGACAACAACATTGCAACTGATTTTGGTCGCGCCCTATTGGCCAGCGAGGGTATGGTTTCCCATCCTCATACAAGAACTTGGAAGTCCAACCCTGAAACTACCAGAGTGGTCGAACCTGCTTGTCCATCCACACACCAAGCAAGCTCACGGGAATCCGGCATTGTTCCAGCTACACGCGTGGAGCGTATCAAAGGACAAGAGGATACTCCGCCATAGCAGCATAAGCAGTAACACTAGCTCTACGTAGATCAACTCGCAACTTGTAAGACAAGTGGCAGAGATTTGAACAGTATGCAACGAGGAAAGGCTTTACGGCGGTAAAAGCAACTCATCCTAAAGTGGCGGAATACCTGTGTCATTTGCGACAGACGAGACACTTGAAAGGTTCAACACTCTCAACGTACCTGGCTGCTCTCAGCACAGATATCACCATGAAGACGGGTGTCACGCTGACCAAATTACCAGAGATACCGGCACTACTACGCTCATTCAAGTTGGAAGACCAACAAAAGAAATTTTAGGCTCCTGCCTGGGATCTCAACGTAGTTCTACAACATCTCACCAGTGACGCCTACGAGCCTCTAGACAACATCCTTTGAACTACTGACACAGAAAACGCTGTTTCTGATCGCCCTAGCAACAGCAGCACGGATGTCAGAAATACATGCTCTGGACTTTGAACGAACACGATTTGAATCAAGACATCGTGACATCGTACATCTAGGACTTTATTGCCAAGAACCAACTGCCTGGCCAGCCTGACAGACAGTTCCACATCCCAGCGCTTTCTACAGTTCTTGGGCCACAGGATACACAGGATTTATCCTCATGCCCTGTCAGAGCATTGAAAGTCTACCTACAAAGGACAAAAACAAGGAGACAAAAATTCAAGCGCCTATTCATCCCCTTATCCACTGAATAAGGGCCTACAAAGCAGCAGGACTTGAGCCTCCCCGAGCCACCAATCCCCACGAAGTCAGTGCCTTGGCGTCTACACTTCCTCTGCATGGAAACTGCTCGATCACAACAATAATGGAGGGCTGCTTTTGGAAATCGGACACGGTGTTTGCCAACCACTACTACCTCAGAGACATTGCCACCGAAGACGTCTTTTATCATGTGACTTGTGAAAACCAACGGTCTGGAGAGCAAATGGTGAAAGTCCATGCACACGTCTAGGACAGGCTAGCAGGAGTGATAGACCCTGTACTTGTATAGGACTTACTTACACATGAAGAAGGGATGCATCTCCACTTGATGCGTGCATCACGAGATGGAGTTGCAATAGATAACTAATGGAACTAATTAGTATATCTAAAATCCACATGAGAAGAAGTTTCAGAAGAAATCTGACAAGTTGTGGTTCCCCCCAGACTCATCAGAGGGAAGTTGGAAGAACAGAATCATCAACAGTGCCGTCATAAGTTCCCATAAGTTACAGAACGTAAATCAACAGCCAGTGAATCCAGGAAGTGGCCTGACCCACCACCAATTCCGACAGATTCTGCAAGCATTTAGCATGAGTCAGGATAAGGAAAAATATGTAATTTTCTGACTAAAATTGATATTTTATACTTATCCTGACTCATGAGGTCAGCCCTCCCAACCTCCCCTCTCAAGGCACTCTGGATTTCCCTGTAAATCAGGGTATCAGGCATACATACGGAGAGATTGACAAACATGGCTGGTCATGTGACCCAAAAGGGCGCAAAAGGAGGCAAGGGAGACTACTCGTGGGTGAGTGATGATTTTATGTCCGCTTTTTAGAAGGGAACTTCAAGGGGTTTCAAGCGTTTTCCACTATCATTCACAAGAAGAAGGAAACAAGCATTTAGCATGAGTCAGGATAAGTATAAAATATCAATTTTAGTCAGAAAATTACATTATTGTTCAATAAATCAGTAAACATCATGTGAACCTGTAAACCTGAGAGATGGATTTCCTAAGCACTATCAAGACTGCAAGGGTAGTTCAGCTTTACTTGTCCTGGAACCATGAACTTACCCACAAACTATGTTATCATCCAAAAGAGAATTTCCTGTTATGCACTCTGGCGTTCAAAATGGTCACACCCATGTTAAGCTGTGAGATTGTGATTGTCACTGATAAACAGTTTGATGGGGTGCAAAATATGTTTGAACCATTCCAGGCTATACCTATTGCATTTTCCGTAAATGAATCATGTTGTACATTATCTTTATCATTTTAGTTGTGCCACACTGAAAACATTTCATCCATGCCATTTCTATACTTTTACCGCACCATGGCATGCAAAACAAGCACTGATTCAATTCCAGAAATGGTATATGTATGTCCATGGTGCTGATGTAGTTTCATAAATGTGATGACGCTTCCTTTTCACTTGTGAATATTCTAAACACTTTATAAAGAAATAGGCCCAGTATCTGCTCTGTACAGTGATTGCTTGGGGGTCTGTTGTGCTTGTATCTACTGTAGTGATTGCTGGTTTCTGTGTACCGCTTCTATTTACAGGACTTATATGAGCTATGTGTTTATGATTTCAGCTCTGGAAAGCTTCCAATCTGTCTTTAGCAGGGGTATTCCGAGGGCACTCCCGGGGTGTGTGGTGTGTCCAGTTCTCACCTGTAGACCAGGTATGTCTAGAATACCATGCATTCAACAGTTCTTTAATGACATTATCATTGCCAGTGTCTAAGTCATCCGGTGGAGGATCTTGTTAAAGCTTACATGCAACGCAAAACGCAACTTTGCATATTCTGATACCTTTCGGTATGGACTTACAGTAACAAATTATCAAAAATGCAAATTCAAGTTATAAAGTTGAAAAATAAGGCGATGAAAAAGATCCCGCGAAATTGGAGTTCAAACAATTCACTAAAAAAAACCCAGCTGGGGTGAAAAGTGGTTTCAACAGCTGTGCTGCGCTGCGCACACAGCGCATGCACAGTGATTATGTTTGCGCGGCTTGAACCGGGATGCCTATACACACACAAAGACCCTTGAGCGTATCGGCAAATGAACCAGACAATGAAAGTCTTCGTTACACTTAAGTGCATGCCCACCCACTCTGACTGTGTTCCGACTGCCTTCGTGGTTAGAGCGTCCGCCCGGAGAGCGTAAAGTTGCGGGTTCGATCCCCGACCACGTCATACCAAAAGATGTTTAAATATGGTACTTGTTGGTCCCTGCCTGGTGCTCGGCATTAATAGGTACAACAAGGACTGGTCGGCTCGGTGTCAGTATAATGTGTCTGAGTGGGGTATTCATGCTTCACTGCGGCATGGTATCTTAGTGGGCCAGCACTATAAAACCAGCTTAAGTCTGGGCTAGTACAAGCAGCCGCACATACACATACACACACATGCACCTCGTCATATGAGCGAAATATTCTCAAGCACGACGTTAAACTCAATTTCACCTCACCTCTGATTGGGTTCAGTATTCAGTATTTAATTATGTATATTTTGTTGGTTGCATCTAAGCTTTAATTCATCAAACATATATCCTGACATTTTGTCTTTTTTTTATCTGACTTGTTGTGATACGTTAAATTATTTGGTCAGTCATAGTTTATCGTGTTAGACCGCCTCCATGGTGTAGTGGTTAGAGCGTCCGCCCGGAGAGCGGAAGGTCGCGGGTTCGAACCCCGACCGCGTCATACCAAAATGACGTTAAAATATGGTACTTGTTGGTCCCTGCCTGGCGCGCTCGGCATTAATGAGTACAACAAGGACTGGTCGGCTCAGAGTCAGTATTATGTGTCTGAGTGGGGTATTCATGCTTCACTGCGGCAATGTATCTCAGTGGGCTAGCACTATAAAACCAGCTTAAGTCTGGGCTAGTACAAGCAGACGCACATACACATACACACACATGCACGTCGTCATATCAGTGAAATATTCTCAAGCACGACGTTAAACCCAATTTCACCTGACCGCACCTCAGTTTATCGTGTTGAGTGGGAGGAACTTATCCTACAATGTCTAGCACAGCATTATCACAACAAAGGACAGCAAGTAGGTTGAATTCACTCTCTCTAGGAGATGCCTCTTCTGAACACACGTTTCAGGATCCTACTTTCCGATTATTCTGCCAGCTGTATCAAATGACACTTTGAATTCTTTATGTCTGTTGCATCACAGCCACCCACAAGTGATTATTCCTCACATTGAATGTGCAGTTGCTTAGTTGATGACAACATCTGTCACACGACTGCCAGATAACTGATGTTTCGGACTATATACTGACTTCTTCATAGATGAAGACAACTTCAAGCAGACAGCTATGTAGGTACACGTGAAACAGCGATTAGAGGACAATGGTGGGTAAGGGCAGTGGGGTAGCCTAATGGTTAAAGCGTCGGTTCATAACGCTGACGACCCGGGTTCGCATCCCCACATGGGCACAATGTGTGAAGCCTATTTATTGGCCCCCGCCATGATATTGCTGGAATATTGCTAAACGCGGCGTAAAACCCAACTCACTCACTCAATGATGGGTATTTAACTACTGAAGGTAGAAGTTTATTGGTGTAGAATAGAAATGGCAATGAACTAGAAGCCAGGAGTTAGTCCAGACACAGACAGTTCTCATAGGTAATCAAGCCTATCAAAGACTTCAGACAACTGTTTTATTGCTTCAGTGTCTGGCCACCAGCTCTACCGACGGCAGCGTCCGCATCTGGAGTCTTTCCGACCTGTCTTGTCTCAAGGTAAGTGTTGAGTCATATCATCTTCATCACATACTGATTTAGAAGAAAACTTGTTGTAGATACGTGTATTGTAGTAAACAAGCCGTCCATGATCTGTGGTACTACTGTTTGTCTCTGGGTTCTACAGACATTTGAAGGCCATGATGCATCCGTGCTGAAGGTGATGTTCATCTCCAGAGGCATGCAGCTGCTGTCAGTGTAAGTAGATCTCAGTGTGTGTACGTAGATCCCAGTGTGTGTACGTAGATCTCAGTGTGTGTACATAGATCTCAGTGTGTGTAAGTAGATCTCAGTGTGTGTACGTAGATCTCAGTGTGTGTAAGTAGATCCCAGTGTGTGTACGTAGATCTCAGTGTGTGTAAGTAGATCCAGTGAGTGTATGTAGAGCTCAGTGTGTGTATGTAGATCTCAGTGTGTGTACGTAGATCTCAGTGTGTGTATCTAGATCTCAGTGTGTGTAAGTAGATCTCAGTGTGTGTAAGTAGATCTCAGTGTGTGTAAGTAGACCTTGTGGTGTTTAAGTATGTCTCAGTGTGTGTAAGTAGACCTTGTGGTGTTTAAGTATGTCTCAGTGTGTGTAAGTAGACCTTCATGTGTATTAGTAGATCTCAATGTGTGTATGCCTTGATGTGTGTCTGTAGACCTTGTTTGTCAGTAGATGTGTGAAGGTAGACATGTGTAAGTAGACCTTAGTGTACATTAGTCAGGTAGATCTCAATGTGTGTATGTCTTTATGTGTGTAAGTATACCTTGTGTATACAGACCTAGGCTTGATGTGTGTAAGGAGACCTTGTGTATACAGACCTTGATGTGTGTAAGTAGACATTGTGTATACAGACCTTGATGTGTGTGTGTAAGTAGACCTTGTGTATACAGACCATGATGTGTGTAAGTAGACCTTGATGTGTGTAAGTAGACCATGTGTATACAGACCTTGATGTATGTAAGACCTTGATGTGTGTAAGTAGACCTTGTGTATACAGACCTTGATGTGTGTAAGTAGACCTTGTGTATACAGACCTTGATGTATGTAAGTAGACCTTGATGTGTGTAAGGAGACCTTGTGTATACAGACCTTGATGTGTGTAAGTAGACATTGTGTATACAGACCTTGATGTGTGTGTGTAAGTAGACCTTGTGTATACAGACCATGATGTGTGTAAGTAGACCTTGATGTGTGTAAGTAGACCATGTGTATACAGACCTTGATGTATGTAAGTAAACCTTGTGTATACAGACCATGATGTGTGTAAGTAGACCATGTGTATACAGACCTTGATGTGTGAGGGAGAGCATGATGTGTGTAATTAGGTCTTGTGTGTTTATTTTGGCAGAGGGTCTGATGGCCTGCTCAAGCTGTGGACCATCAAGACGAATGACTGTGTGAAGACATTCGATGAGCATGATGCCAAAGTCTGGTGTGTGGCCTGTAGCCAGGATGAGGAGAGAGTTGTCACGGCAGATGCAGAGTCCACCATTATCTTGTGGAAGGTGAGGAGGACATCATAAATGTCTCATCGTCATGACTTGACATCTTGAATCCAGATTGTGGCACATTGTCCTTCTGTAAACCTGAAAGCCTCTGAAAACGAAACAGCATGGGCTGCCATTGCATTGAGCATTTTTAACCAAAACATACTCACTGAATTCTTAATGACAACCTTATTGAGATAGTCATGTTCCATCCTTTAATAAGAGATTTCTGAGTTATCAATATTAAATTCAATGTAGTGTGTTTTCCCCAAAGAGTATTCCCTGGTTGATTATGAGCCACTGTACCCAAGTAATGTTGCTGCTGCTTACAATATTAACGACTGGTTTGTTCTGTCGAAACTTGATAATAGGCCACCATAACGAGCTGAGACATTTCTCACTGCGGTGACGTGGCAAGAAGAAAGTATGTAGATGAAGGATGGTATAGGATGTACATTGTGGTGCATTTCAAGTTTGGCCGTCAGAACTTCACACGCCTTGTTATGTCTAGAAAATGTGTTGTCTCCAGACAACATGAAGGAAGCCATTTTGTAATTGCCTTTATGCATGTATAGTGGCCAGATGCGAGTATTTTCATAGTTGTGTTCAGATCCTGTAATCTGAGAGGGTTTTGCAGGATGTGTCCGAGCAGGAAGGTGAGGAAATCCTCCTGCAGCAAGAACAACAAGTACTGCAGTAAGTATATCTGTGTCCACTTGCTGCTGCATTCAACAATATTCCAGCTGTATGACGGCTCACTTGTTCTCCTCTTTTCCATTTGGCTCTTGATCTAATGATAACTTTCATTTTCATTTTCAAAATGACTGTTTTCTCTCTTCTAATTCTTTAAAGTTTCCCCAAACATTTCTTTCTAATTCTTAAATGCCATTAACAATTCCTATTCTTTTAAGTCTAGATTGTTTCAAATAGAAGAATAGTAAAATTTCAATTAAAAGCGTTTCCATAAACAATTGATCATTAATTGCAAATTAAGTTCAGACATGCAAGCAGGCTAACAACATGGATAGTGACATGACATTCAAGCAGGCTAACAACATGGATAGTGACATGACATACAGGCAGGAAAACAACATGGATAGTGACATGATATCCATGCAGGCTAACAACATGGATAGTGACATGACATACAGGCAGGCTAACAACATGGATAGTGACATGACATTCAAGTAGGCTAACAACATGGATAGGGACATGATATCCAAGTAGGCTAACAACATGGATAGTGACATGATATCCATGCAAGCTAACAACATGGATAGTGACATGACATTCAAGCAGGCTAACAACATGGATATGACATGATATCCATAACATGGATAGTGACATGACATTCAACAGCAGGCTAACAACATGGATAGGGATATGATATCCAAGTAGGCTAACAACATGGATAGTGACATGATATCCATGCAAGCTAACAACATGGATAGTGACATGACATTCAAGCAGGCTAACAACATGGATAGGGACATGATATCCATGCAGGCTGACAACATGGATAGTGACATGACATTCAAGCAGGCTAACAATATGGGTAGGGACATGATATCCATGCAGGCTAACAACATGGATAGTGATATGACATTCAAGCAGGCTAACAACATGGATAGTGACATAACATACAAGCAGGCTAACAACATGGATAGTGACATGACATACAGGCAGGAAAACAACATGGATAGTGACATGATATCCATGCAGGCTAACAACATGGATAGTGACATGACATACAGGCAGGCTAACAACATGGATAGTGACATGACATTCAAGTAGGCTAACAACATGGATAGGGACATGATATCCAAGTAGGCTAACAACATGGATAGTGACATGATATCCATGCAAGCTAACAACATGGATAGTGACATGACATTCAAGCAGGCTAACAACATGGATAGGGACATGATATCCATGCAGGCTAACAACATGGATAGGGACATGATATCCAAGTAGGCTAACAATATGGGTAGGGACATGATATCCATGCAGGCTAACAACATGGATAGTGATATGACATTCAAGCAGGCTAACAACATGGATAGTGACATAACATACAAGCAGGCTAACAGCATGGATAGTGACATGACATACAGGCAGGCTAACAACATGGATAGTGACATGACATCCAGGCAGGCTAACAACATGGATAGTGACATGACATTCAAGCAGGCTAACAACATGGATAGTGACATGATATCCATGCAGGCTAACAACTGGATAGGGACATGATATCCATGCAGACTAACAACATGGATAGTGACATGACATTCAAGCAGGCTAACAACATGGATAGTGACATGACATACAGGCAGGCTAATAACATGGATAGTGACATGATATCCAGGCAGGCTAACGACATGGATAGTGACGTGACATTCAGGCAGGCTTACAACATGGATAGTGATATGACATACAGCCTGGCTTACAACATGGATAGTGATATGACATACATGCAGGTTAACAACATGGATAGTGATATGACATTCAGGCAGGCTAACAACATGGATAGTGACATGACATCCAAGCAGGCTTACAACATGGATAGTGATATGTCATACAGTCAGGCTTACAACATGGATAGTGATATGACATACAGGCAGGCTGACAACATTGATAGGGACATGACATCCAGGCAGGCTTACAACATGGATAGTCACATGACATACAGGCAGGCTAACAATATGGATAGTGACATGACATAAGGGCTGTCTGACATTGGTCTCATAACCTCCACTTATACTGTCTCACCTGATCAGATGTGCAGGTTTCTGTATGTGTTTCTGTTTGCTGTTGCAGACAACAGGAGTTATCTAACTTGATACACGAGAAACGGTACCTGAAAGCCATCGGACTGGCCATCACGCTGGAGCAGCCGTACCGAGCTCTGACTGTCATGAAGGGTAAGCTAGTACATACAATATGTCTCCACATCCATGCTGACCGAGATTGTCCAGTATGTTGGACAACTTCTTTGTGATGGGTTTAGCTTATGATATGGATATGCTATCAATACATTACATTATCTCTCAGGATCCAGTAATGTAATATTCATTTCAGATTCAGACATGATGTATAACAAAGTCATATTTAATAATTCTATGCATTTTTTGTAGAAATTCTGTTCGACGTTGATGGTCATAAAAAACTGGAGGAGGCCTTGTCCAAACTGCGTCCTGATCAGATAGGTAAGCACTGAACTACTGCTACAGGCAGCTTGGGTTATCCGGGGTAATAATGTGCTGTGCCTTGATTGTTAGCGCTATGACTGACTGACTGACTGACTGACTGAGTTTTCGTTTTACGCTGCTTTTAGCAATATTCCAGCAACATCATGGCGGGGGACACCAGAAATGGGCTTCACACATTGTACCCATGTGGGGATTCGAACCCGGGTCTTCGGCGGGAAGAGCCAACGCTTTAACCACTAGGCTACCCCACCGCCCCGTTAGCGCTATGAGCATACCTAGTGTGGAGTTTGGCGCTATATAAATGGACACATTATTATTATTATCTTCCGCAAGATCCTCCACTAAATCCTCTGCTGGATCCGCCACTAAATCCTCTGCTAGATCCGCCACTAAATCCTCTGCTGGATCCTCCACTAAATCCTCTTCTGGATCTGCCACTAAATCCTCTGCTAGATCCGCCACTAAATCCTCTGCTGGATCCGCCACTAAATCCTCTGCTGGTTCTGCCACTAAATCCTCTGCTAGTTCCTCTGCTAGATCCGCCACTAAATCCTCTGCTGGATCCGCCACTAAGTCCTCTGCTAGTTCCTCTGCTAGATCCGCCACTAAATCCTCTGCTGGATCCGCCACTAAGTCCTCTGCTAGATCCTCCACTAAATCCTCTGCTGGATCCTCCACTAAATCATCTGCTAGATCCGCCACAAAATCCTCTGCTAGTTCCTCAGCTAGATCCGCCACTAAATCCTCTGCTAAAACTAAACTCAGTCAGTCTTCTGCTAGGTCCTCTGCAAGTTCCTCTGCTGGATTCGCCACTAAATCCTCTGCTAGTTCCTCTGCTAGATCCTCCACTAAATCGTCTGCTAGATCCTCCACTAAATCCTCTGCAAGTTCCTCTGCTGGATTCGCCACTAAATCCTCTGCTAGTTCCTCTGCTAGATCCTCCACTAAATCGTCTGCTAGATCCTCCACTAAATCCTCTGCAAGTTCCTCTGCTGGATTCGCCACTAAATCCTCTGCTAGTTCCTCTGCTAGGCCCTCTGCTAGTTCCTCTGCTGGATTCGCCACTAAATCTTCTGCTAGTTCCTCTGTTAGATCCGCCACTAAATCTTCTGTTAGTTCCTCTGCTAGATCCTCTGCTAGATCCTCTGCTAGCTCCTCTGCTAGGTCCTCTGCTAGATCCACCACTAAATGCTCTTCTAGGTCCTCTGCTGGGTCCTCTGCTAGATCCTCTGGTAGGTCCTCTGCTAGATCCACCACTAAATCTTCTGCTAGATCCTGTGCTGGGTCCTCTGCTAGTTCCTCTGCTGGATCCGCTGGATCCGCCACTAAATCCTCTGCTAGATCCTCCGCTAGGTCCTGTGCTAGATCCTCTGCTTGGTCCTCTGCTAAATCCTCTGTTAGATCCGCCACTAAGTTCTCTGCTAGATCCTCTGCTAGGCTAGGTCCTCTGCTAGGTCCTCTGCTAGGTCCTCTGCTATATCCTCTGCCATATCCTCTTCTAGGTCCTCTTCTAGGTCCTCTGCTAGGTCCTCTGCTAGATCCTCCCCTGGATATGTGTGTTCTTCCAGACACTACACTGCCGACTTATCAGACACACAGACTCCAGGTCTTCCAGAGCCTTCTGCTTGTAAGGATGAGTAACTGGATTGGGTGGCAGTGCATCCCAGTTGTGTCGATTGATACTCATGATGTCAATCACTGGATTGGTCCAGACACTGCTTAGTTATGTTGTGACTAGATGTCTCTAGTTCTGTGTGTATTGCCAGACACTGCAACTATCAGTAATGTCATATCCCAATAGAAACTGACTGAAAAACATGATTTCGGTATCTATTATTGTATAATTACTTCTGGGTAGGTCTTCTCTGTTATTATATGCGATTATATATTCTTGACTTGTTTTTGTGATAATACTTTGTGACAGTTGTCAGCTTGTGCTTAGCAGACAAGATGTTTCCTATAAATGTCTCACCCTATAGTTCGAGCATAACACAAGTACTCTTGTGTTGACTGACCTCTTGGGTTGACTGACCTCTTGCGTTGACTGTCCTCTTGTGTTGACTGTCCTCTTATGTTGACTGTCCTCTTGCGTTGACTGTCCTCTTGTGTTGACTGACCTTGTGAGTGGACTGTCCTCTTGTGTGTTGACTGACCTGATTGTTGACTGACCTCATATGGTATTTGATATGTAGTTTTGTGTATGTCTGTGTATGGTGTTTGACTTGTTCACAGATGCCATCCTCCGGTTCAGCGTTGCATGGAACACCAACAGTAAACACTGTCACATCGCACAGCTTCTTCTCCGAGTAGTCCTGCAGACCCTCTCACCTGCTGACATCGGCGACCTCCCCAACATCCGCTCAACCGTGGAGGGACTGCTGCCATATACAGGTAAGTAGACCCTCTCACCTGCTGACATCGGCAACCTCCCCAACATTCACTCCAAGGTAAGTAGGCCCTCTCACCTGCTGACATATGTTACTCTGTGCACTTGTTTCTGCCCTATTCAGGTAGGACAATATCTGACACTTCAAACAACAATCATGTGCAACACAGTCTTCTATGTCCCTGCTATAAATATCCGCCAGTCTGAGCACAGAAACATGTTCTCTGTTACCTGATCTCACATGACATCCTGTTCTCCTCCCCCTCCAGAGCGACATTTCCAGCGACTCACTCGGCTGTACCAGCAGTCCCGCTTCATCGAGTACACCTGGCAGTGTAGCCGCACCGTCGGAGCCACCACCTCCACTAGTGCACTCGGGTATGTAGAGACACTGAATCCATTGGTACCTGACCCAGAAAGTTCACATTCTCGTGTCCCCTTGTGATGACATCTAAATCTGTTTGACATGTATTTTTCATCTTAAATTGTTGGTTTCCTCCGATGAACTTGACAGATTGAGGGAGCTGTGAATGAGCATGTATGTTTCTGTGTAATGATTTCATATTTTGTTCAGATTTTATCTATGAGATTATTTTCGTCTCTCATTATTAAAGCTGAAACTAATTTGATATAAATACTGGAAGCAACATTTGTTTTAGCCATCATTGCTGTGACACTATTAGTATTCCTTTGTAATGTTGTTGAAAGTCCTGTTTTGGGTAAACAGTTCACAGCCTGAAGCTTTGGGAGAAGATGTACTTTCTCAAAAGAAAGTTACAACACTCAGGAATACAAGGAATAGATCAAGGTCAAACTCAGGTTCAAGGTCAGTCTCGGAATCAGACTCAGAAACTGAAATGACGGAAAGCAGAGCTGATGTGACAGAAATGTTGTCTGCCGGTGATGGCAAGGCTGAGCCTGTCCAGGGAACAAAGGTCAGTGTTACCCAGTAATCAAAGAATGTTGAAGGAAACTCACCTATCTCAAAAGTTCCTTGTGGCAAGAATAGAAAGGATGAGAGGGAGGAAATGCAAAGATCAGTTGATCAGAAAACTGTGGTATAATGTTCCATGTTCAGGCATTCATGATACAGTTGGCAGTTAGAGTATCCTTATGTAGTCAGCTGGTATGGAGTCTGTTTCATTTTGAATACTTTATACCAAGGCAGGTCCACTTCAAAAGGTAGTGGAGTTGATATTGAAGATCTTAAACATTCACCAGATTGGCAACCTGGGTTTATGGTGCAGAAAATTAACAATATGATTCGGGTGAACTGGGATTCTTTAAAACAATTTAGAGTCTGTTTTGCCCTCAGAATCTTTGCACAGCTTATCACTGCATTTCCAATGACTACCCATCCATGTCCCCTGTGACAAGTGTATACGTGTGTGAAGTCGGTGCATGCACACTACAACATTCTGTCCTATGCCCTGTCTCTCTGCTAGTGCTACTGTGATGTATCGCTTCATGGTTGATGTTTAGTTCTAACATGGGTGTGTTCTAGGCTGGGTCGAGTGGAGGCAAGAAGAGATCACTCTCAGCAGGACAGGTGTGCCAGGAGGATTCCCCCAAGTAGTAGGAAGAAGATGAAGAAGAAAAGTTCCAAGGAGGGATCTTTGAGTGTTCAGACTGACTTGGGGGTTACTGTCAGTGATTCCCCAAGGGGCAGGAAGAAGAAGAAGAAGAATAGTTCCAAGAAGGGTTCTTTGAGTGTACAGACAGACTCAGGAGTTTCTGTCTCTGAGTCACCAGGCAGCAAGAAGAAGATGAAGAAAAGTTCAAATGGACAGCAACGCAAGCAGAAACAGCTGGGCTGACATATGATGGTGTGTGTAGAAGGGGTGCAAGTGAAGGGTGAATGTTGAGTGTATCTTGAAAGTGAGTGAGGTAGCAGGGGCAGATACAGCTTTTTGAGAAAGGGGGGTGCACACTATTGAGAAAAGGATGGGTGCACACATCATTTAACAAACTTTCAGCACAAAAGGGGGGTGCGCACCCCTGCACCCCTCCTCTGGATCCCCCCTATGGGTAGCCTGTAAATATGCAGGTATGAATACTGTGTAATAAATGCTGCATCTACTGTAATAAACATGACATTGAATCCAGATGCTTTGTTATAGAAATGAGTTCCTTCTGTCCGTCCTTTTGGGGGTTAGACCAAGATGCAAATTTTATGTTTTTGCCGTTTCTATGGCAACATGACTTAGCCTGTTCTATAAACATGTCATCTTGTCCGTAGCAGATCTCCGAAACTATACATGCTAGCTTCATCAAACTTGGTACATATCTCAAGCATGATCCCTAGATGTGCCTTTTGGGGGTTAGACCCAGATATGAATTTAATTTTTTGCGGTTTCCATGGAAATGTGACTTAGGCTGTGGCTATGAAGATATCATCTTGTCAGGAGCAGATCTAAACTATTAGTGCTAGCTTCATCAAACTTGGTACACATATCAAGCATGATCCCTAGATGTGCTTTTTGGGGGGTTAGACCCAGATATGAAATTAATATATGACTGTTTCCATGGAAAAGGACTTAGGCTGTGGCTATGAGGATGTCATCTTTTCCGGAGTAGATCTCCCAAACTATACATGCTAGCCTCATGAAACTTGGTACATATGTCAAGCATGTGTGGTTTCCATGGAAACATGACCTAGACTGTGGCTATGAGGAAGTTATCTTGTCCGGAGCAGATCTCCTAAATTATACATGCTAGCTTCATCAAACTTGGTCACATATCAAGCATGATCCCTAGATGTGCCTTTTGGGGTTAAGACCCAGATATGAATTTTATTTTTTGTGGTTTCCATGGAAACATAACTTAGGCTGTGGCATGTCATCTTGTTGCAAAAATTGCAAAAAGTTAGGCTTCAACTGAATTTGATGGTAGTGCTCCTCTCTGGAGCAGATCTTAAAAACCTTTCAATACTCTCCTTCCACTTTGCTGTATACACTCCAAAACATTTGACATAATCATAACTAGTAGACATATTCATAAAGAGTATTTTGCCGTTGAGGGGGATATTGATGACTTTGTCTTCTTGTTGTGTTTCTTTTGTGTTTCTTGTGTATCACAACTATACACACTTTGGAGAAGAATGGGACCACTGTATTCCATTAACTTCAAAATGGTGATTAGATGTCAACAATGGCTGCATGATATGCATAGTCCAAGGGTAGGGTGTTTATGTGAATCACTGTACTTGAACCACCTTGGATGCTACAGGCCATGATGTTTAATATGGCTGGGTATGATGATGTCTCTTGTCCCCATTGTTGCAGTTTGTACAGCCAGTGGTGTCATTGGTTATATCCATGTTGCCATGGTAAAGCTGGAATATGAGAATAGCAACTGAGAATGTTTCTCCCCCACAGCTCAACTTCTCTTATACCCAACCACACACACATGCATGTCTGCAGTGGTACCAGCCTTTGATTTAGTCACCACAATATAGATAGTTACAGGATAATCAGATTTAAGGGTATGAACTATTTCCAAAATACAAGCATTCTGTTTGCTCGACCACCTTCACTTCTGTCCTGTTGGTCCACACACCAGGATGAAACTTACCAGCCATCCTGCATTCATGTATTTCCCACATTCTGGACATTCCAACACATCTCTCTGTAAGATTGACATATCACACCATTATCCCACACATTTCTCTGTAAGATTGACATATCACACCATTATCCAACACATGTCTCTGTAAGATTGACATATCACACCATTATCCAACACCTCTCTCTGTAAGATTGACATGACACCATTATCCAACACTTCTCACTGTAAGATTGACGTGACACCATTATCCAACACATGTCTCTGTAAGATTGACATATCACACCATTATGCAACACATCTCTCTGTAAGACTGATATATCACACTATTATGCAACACCTCTCTCTGTAAGATTGACATATCACGCCATTATGCAACACATCTCTCTGTAAGATTGAGATATCACACCATTATGCAACACCTCTCAGTGTACAAGTGATGTCTCACACCAGTATCGACCACTTCCTATTGTGAGCTGTATTTTACACCGGTCAGGCCACCATTTTGCATACTTTGCATATCTGACATCCTTCACACTTCACCCCCACATCTACTGAGAGATGATCCTTGGCATACACGCCATGTTACTGTAGTCTGTAAGGAGTTGAAACTGAAGTCTGCAGGCAACAATTAACTACCCACTTTATGACATTTCTATACCCTATATCAGCAGCCTATGAAGCAGAGTTTCACCCTTGAATGACTTGCTGCCCAAAAGAGGAATCAACTTCATTCTCATTCACTATGTGCAAACGAAGGCTAATTCACTTGAAACTATATCATGGTGTTGGCACTTGATAAAACTTAGGCTGTAGCAGATGTGTGATACTAGATACAGCTGTGGTAGAAGCTAGACAGATAGAACTGTAGTGGAGGCTAGACAAATACAGCTGTACTACGACAGTCGTAACTCCCATACTTTAACATAGACTTACGACTGTCGTAGCGCTACGATCGCTTTGAGGAACGGGGCCCTGGAGACTTGGCAAGAGATGTAGCTGTAGTAGATGCAGGATACTAGATACAGCTGTAGTTGAGACTTGACAAATTCAGCTGTACAGGAGTGTTGACAACAGATGCAGCTGAACCAAAGATTGACAGCCACCTCTTTTGTTTCTTGTGGGGTTAATATAAACTTGCCTATTTGTGGTTTTAGACAAGTGCAAAATGTTTGCGTTGATTTCGAGCCAGTTTCTGTTATCTACACCCAGAAGGAAGTGGTGTTACCGACATGTGACCTGCCAGATTGTTATGTTGGCCTTTGCAAAAAATAGTTTAAACAAAACATTGATAAATCTTTCTTGTGTCAACTCCTTGTTCCGACTGAAACAACAATCACACATCTTGACACTAGTTGAACTGTCATACTATGGGCATGTACTTATATTAAACAGTAGTCCATCAGCCTGACAACATGTGAAATATGTCTTTCACTATACTTAACCTCGTCTCTAAACTATGTATCTGGGTCGAGTGTAGACCATGGTACTGGTTACACTGCGTCAGTCATGGCGTCACGCTGCACGGACACTTCGACAATTTCTTATGAAATATCAAATGATTGCATTGCTTCTGTTTTTAATTTCCCATTTCTTGCTACGATACTCTTTCCATGCATATTCTAAAGCTATTGAGCCATTGCAAGCAATGAATAGACGGCTGCATGTCGGAAAATTTCAGAAAATGCTACGTACACACAGCGGGTGGCCACAATATATTACGTACATTGTCCATATTTTTTAGTAAGTTTAGAAATTAATCTTACTTTGAAACGATCGCGTTTGAAAACTAACTCTCTAAACGTAACCAATCTTAGCGAAATAGTAGAACCGAACACGCCCTATCGTCACGTGACATATGACCAAGTATTGAGGTAAGTCACCCTTTATTTCATGCTCTATCACCATTTGAATAAACCGCGCTGACAGGAGGCGTCGCACTCGGCCGCCGTCAATGTACGTAATATTGTGGCCACCCGCTGTAGTGTAAAATCGGATTTTTGTCTTTCTTTACAAGCACAGCCTTTCGAGCACAGCGTTCGTTTGACACTCAATATCTTTCGTTTCATTTTATCAAGACAGTTGATATTGGTGACAAAGACCATTTGTAATTTGATTCTAAAATGTATGGGGAATTCAGTGATGCATTTGTCGCAGGTAAATGTGTACACGTGATGTAATTGGCGTCTCATTACCGGCCTCCGCGAAACGTGATTTTGTAAACACTATCCAATATGACGGAAAGCGCACTTCGGCGTTCGTGTAAGTGTATTTTCAAAATTATCATTAGTGATTTCATGAAAACCTGATATCAGTGATCATTAATATGCTATTTTCTATTCAATACATATGTAGTAATTATCCGATTTGAACATTTGAAAACACACCAAATAACGTTGTGAATCGTGATTTCGTAATGTGTCAAATATGGCGACATTTATGGTGAAGCCCATTTTGAAAGTCCATGTTATTTCTCCATCAGGATCCATCGGTAAAGTTGGGTTTTCTCGGTTTTCTTTGGCTTTCCATGATTACGACTGAAAGGGATGTACCGCGAAGTTGTTTCGCGCCTTTTACCGGTGGTTTCAAAACGTTCGAAAATCTACAAATAGCACACTGCGCCTTGACGTAAATCCGTTAAGCCGGGCGTAGTAACGCCTAGGCTTAACCGACGTTGTGCATGACGTGTAAGAGGAGGGCGCTGCTAAGCCCGACGTAGTGTGTTACGCCTGACGTTAGCTACGCCCGACATGTGCATACGGCCACAGGATTCTACCATCCACCCAACACATGAGATCTATCATCTTGTCTTTCATAGGTCTGCCTGCATCAACATCAGTGGCCGTATGCATATGTCGGGCGTAAATTCTAGTCCGGGCGTAAGTAAAATGTGCGTCCGGACGTAACGTTAACCGGTATGCACATAGTAGACGTAGTTAAAGTTACGCCAGTCGTAGCGCTCTATAGATCTATTTACGCCACCTACCCAGCAGGCGTAAGCCAGGCGTAGCCTTGTAATGGCGGCACTGGATGCCGAGTTTTTTATCAGGCGCACATTTTCAAAAGTTTTTAAAAGTGAACGTTGTGCGAGAATTGCGCTCGCGTGGTCCTGGATCTGCGTACGGCTATAAAATTACACAGAAATGTAGAATATTTAATTTCCTATCTGTTGGTATAAATATAAGTGCGACTACCTCGGCGGTTTGAGAAATAGACACTGCTATAATTTTGTTACGCGTTAAGAAACTGTCAATTTCTCCGTTTTTTGTCGTGCACCGATAAAAGCACTCTGCTACGATTTTTTTAATTTGGCATCTTTACAGAAAGTGTGAGCGAAGAAAATACAGCCTGATATCTGAACGACGTACATAAGGCATAACGTTAGACGCTCAACATTAAAAATGAAGTGTCAAAAATGGATTTTCTTCTATGACGTCAACTGACGACAGAGTGGTCATACACGTATAAAAGATAAGGGGGCATAACTGAGTTATGCTTAACACTAGGTCAATGTTACTCAGATCACTTGGAGAAAAGTTGT